GTTTTGTTATTATTGCGTTTGGCATATCCATATCTTCTATCTCTTTTACTACTTTATCGTAGTCAACTTCTCCGTCTTCCATGTCAAGCTGATGATATCAACAGGAAAATCAAATTATAAATAAAAAATGTACAAGTGAATGAATTTATTCCAGACATAAAATCGATTTTAAAGAAATTTACCTCATGAGGCGTATTATGACTTTGAACTCGTTCGCCATCGTAAAGGAACCGGAGTGACGCTAACGATTTGCCTTGTCTTTCGCAATAAGCATCCATTAATTTTTTAAGTTGCGTCGTCCGCTTGATTTTGAAAAACACTTCGTTATGATCCTAAAACGCAAACATAAATGATAAAAGTAAATACTTAACGCGTCTTTTTATGTGTTGCAAAAATTTTGTAAGAGTTGAAAATATGTTTTTAAGCGCGCAATTTTAGTGTCATTTCCGTTAAAGAGAACCCACAATTTATGGACGCGCTAAATTTATTTGCTTTTTTACTCTCAAGAATAAGCATTAACTTACATTTCCTACTACTTTCAGATTAATGTGTTCATTACTATCACCTTTCTTTTCTTCTCCAGTTGGTGGTAATGGGTTTTGTTGTTCAGACATGTTTATAAAATTGTGATTCCCAAGATCTTTACGGATGGTAGCTTTAATAATAATAATAAAAAAACACACTGTAGTCCTTTTAAAATTTATGGATTATTATTTTTTTTTTGAATAACGTGACAGATAGCACTGGACAGTAAAGTTTCGGGATATAATGTGTATGGCAAATTAAAAATGAAAAGCGTTCTATTTTATGATTTTATGACATTCAAATATTCTAAATATATAAATGTCACATGATTTATTGGCTCGTTATTAGTGCCCAATAAAATTATATGTCGAAAAATTACGTAAAAAAATCATCGTAATAAAGTTACCTATATATAAAGGGCATTGGATCCAAAATATTTTTGACTTTGTTTCGATAGTCATGGTCCAACTGTCTTCTATTCCATCATCTGTGTCGCGTACATCCTATCCAAAACTTTATTTAAAAGCAAGCAAAAGACTTCTTCAACCTCAATTTCTTTTACTCATCTTTGCTGCTAGCATCGGCTTGTTTATTACCTGTGTTGTTCTAGTTGATTTTCAAGACGACGAACCTATTGAAGACGAAGAAAATGATGAATAAAAACCTTTTTACTCCTTCAAAATCTATCAAAGCTATAAATTTTATAGGACAAACTTCTACAATGAAAGACAACAATTCTGCCAGACCTTCTTCCAAAGAAATTTGGAAGAATGCTATAAACACACTACTTATTGCGCTCGGTATAATTTCATCATAATTAATTAATTAATCAAGATTATATATATATTTAATTAATTTAACAAAATTTATTAATCAGAGAATATTTTGTTGGATGAAAACGGAATGCCATTAAAGTTGAGTAGCACTGAAGTTGAAGAGTACGCCGAACAAAAGTTGAAAAGAATAGGTTGTAAGTAACTTCGATGTTTGTGACCATTTATTCCTTAGCTTATAAATATTTATTTCTTTTGCGTTTTAAATTTGCAGCAAATTCAATGATAATAGAGAATTTCGATATATCCTATGGTAGCTTATCGCCTCTTAAACGAAAACGTGAAGAGGATAATCAGCGTAAAATCAAAACTCAAAAAATTTCACATTCTTTATCTTCGCAATTTGCTAGAAGCCTATCCTTTACAGAGGATGAGTCAAATGATGAGGGAGAATCATTAAACGCACAACATAGTTCTTTAAACTTTATCAATGTCCCCAGACAAACAGACTTATCTCAACGTAATTTTAAGTGTTATTCTCGTCGAAATTTCGGTGGAAAATGTATCACTAAACAGTCAGTTATAACTAATGATTGCACTTGTGATATGGAAATCATATCCGATCATTCTATAAGTGATTTGTCAGGTGGGGAGGATAAATTAGTTCATGAAACTGCTAGGATGCAAATTTTACGTCGTATCTTATCACATTCTAGCAATGAAAATAATTATTGGAATGTTTCAATAAATTGGATTGAATTACAAGCTCAGAAAAAACATATTCCTTTGATGGAATTTCAAACCCAATTTCAAGAGAAAAGTCGTGATATGGAATCTTCCCTCAATATACTTCATAATTCGATTCCAAATAATTATGATGATATTCGAGTTTTAATTGACAGGTTCTTGTTTAATGCTGATTGGATAAGGTGTGATTATAGCAAACCATTCATAGTAAGTCAGAAAATACAAAAATGATTCCATAACTGTTTAATAAATAATCGATTAAAAGATTTATTATTTAATAATATTCTGATAATGCTTTTTTTTGAATAGCAAATCTTTCCGCAATGGCAAACTTTGGGAAGGAACGTAGAAAATATTGTTCAATATGTTGAGATAATTGAAGATATGAAAGCTACATTGAATTCTGAATTTCCTAAAAGCGAGAAAATTGGTTCAGACTTGAAACGTATTCAAGAAGTTTTGATGTTCAAAAAATCTCTATATGGAGAAATTTTACAACAATCTGGGTTAGCATGGAAAGCCTTTGGATTTCCAATAGAAGAAGCTTGGATTTATGAGGTCAAACAATGGTTATACGGGTTGGCTTTTCATTGTTCGGAAATGATGAAGAATGAATTAGACAAGTATGACCAATCGTTTGCGGCGGATGACACAAAAATTGGCGAGGTATTCCCGAAATTAATAATAATTCCAAAAAATTGTAATTTATAAAATCACATGTACTTACACCAACTTACGTTTATATCAAAAAAAAAGTTTATGGACAATGTAAAGACTTGTTTAAAAATCGCGAGTCAAACAGTTCAATTAATAGGAAGTCCTAACAACGAACTCACTTTATCTAATATATTCCTTACAACTTTATATATCGATTGGGGATTATCCCAGATTGAAAAAATAGAAAATAAAGCACGAAGTGTTGAAGTTAGATTGATGCATATTTGTGATAATATCAATCATATTTTGCATCATTTACGCATCATACAAGATGTTGATGGACAAGATTTTTATTTGATGCATGATGATCAAGGACTATCTTTAAATATCATTGAAAATTTTGCTGGAAGTTTGGTTGAAACAGGATTAAGATTATGCGAACATATTACTAAACCAAAAATTAAAAGTGTTACCGGTCCCGCCAACTTTTTATACATGTATTCTGAATTTGTGGTGAATTTTGTTAATAGGGTAAGAAATTTAAATGATAAAACGTTTTTTATTTTCTTTTAATCTTGATGATAAATATTATTTATTATACGAATGAAACTTTCCAGGTAATTGAATATGCTGGAATGGATCAACTTGTAGAAAAAAGAATGCGTCCTTTACTTACAAGTTTAAGAAATATGGAAGTCACGTTACCGGCTGTATAAAGGGAATGACTAAAAGGAAGGAATATAAAATTGGTTATTATACACTCAACTCAAAAAAAAAAAATATTGGACAATTATTCATATACATACACTAATAAAATAACATTTCAAAAGTTCGTTGCGACAAATCACATGTAATCGGGATTCAACCAACAATTCAACCAATCAACTTGTCATAAAATAATGAAATTTTTAACAAAAAAAAATTTATCTTTAGGAGACCGATTTTTAGGCGGGGTCTTAAAAAAATAAAAAAATTATTCATAGATTTTATAGATTTAAACAAGACTTTATGGCGGAAGCTTGTTATTTATTTTTTAATTTAATAAAGTTATAATGATTTTAAAAAGCAATTTGGCAATTATTTTATTTTTGCCAATAAAATAATTAACGATTCTCGTTTATTTGATTTGTTTTCTTTAATTCAATTATACTATTGGTGATTGGGTTCCTAGTTTTAATTAGGTAATTAGTTATGACCTTTGCAATTACTTTTATATGCCAAATATGATTTTTAGGCTGAGATATGTTCCATATGATCGGATTCGCGACCTTCCCTGAATTACATATATATATATATATATATATATTTTTTTTTTTTTGAACTCTGTGTTATTTCTCTTCATTTCTTGTACATGCTACTTTTACTTGATTTTTTTTTAAAAAAAAATGTTAAGTTCAGAAGACTTAAGTTCAGACGGAGAAGTTGACTACGATAAAGTAGTAAAAGAGATAGAAGATATGGATATGCCAAACGCAATAATAACAAAAC